GCCGCCGGCCGGGCTGCTCCGCGCCGGGGTGGCTGAGCACCCGCCCTTTCCTTTAGAGACTGCCACTGCGCCAATCAAGCAGAAGGCTTCCTTCAAGATCAAGGATGCCAAGTGCTACCTGCACCCGCGGGCCAAGGGCAAGCAGGACGAAGCCGGGAAGGCTGGGGCGCAAGGTGAGGCATGATGTGGGGGTGGCAGGGATGCCCATTCCCCCAGGAGGGACAGGGTGCTGACCTGTCCTCATGCGCGCAGGCGGTTCGGCGCCTTGCTCCGACTGCCAGGTCGCCTTCGTCAACCTCAAGTGCGACTCGTCCAAGAAAGGAAAGGGCCGCAGGGCTCGCAACTCCTCCAACAAGGAGGTGACGCGCATCACGCTGGAGTTCGAGGCGGAGATCAAGCCAGAGGAGATCACAGGTGGGCACAGCACGCTGGCTTGGCCCATCTTGGGTGCAAGCAGAGGTGGTGGGACCAGGGGGATGGCGGTAGGATCAGAGGGGGATGGTGGTAGGACCAAGGGGATGGTGGTGGGATCAGGGGGATGGTGGTGGGAGCAGGATTGTATGGTGATAGGACCAAGGGGATGGTGGTGGGATCTGGGGGACGGTGGTAGGATCAGGGGGACAGTGGTGGGACCAGGGGGATGGTGGTGGGACCAAGGGGATGATGCCATCACTGTGCAGCAAGGAGAGCTGAACCAGTCCTTATCCCATACCAGGTTGGGATATGCTGGGCAGCGCTTGTAGCTGTGCATTTGGGAGATGATTTTAATCCCGCCGGGTTTCCCTCTCCATCCATCCCTTCTTGCTGCATCCCCGTTTCCCCCCAAAACCTCCCGCTGTTCCCCCCTGCACCCCCAGCCAGCTGCAACCTGCACTGCCTGCGACAGAGAGTGGAGAAAAAGCTGAAGTCGGCCATCAAAGCCCTGAAGAAATCCATCAACCAGGAGCGGTTCCTGCTCCGCTTCGCAGGGATGGAGTACGAGGTGGCGAGGAAGCTGAGCGTGGCCCCGGAGCGGCAGGAGAGTTGCGGACC